CCCTATAACAGCAATCTGTCCATCAAAAAGATTACAATTCTAGATAACCCAATACCACTCCAGCCAGTTCAAGCTCTCCATACCCTACATTTCCCCCTCCCTCCCATGTCACTGCTCACGGACACTTATTCTCAAGCTGAGGATCATTAAGATTCTCATTATGATCGCGCCACCCATCATGACCACCTCTAAACCTTCCATTATACCTTCCATCATCATTCGGATCGAGAACGCGGTTACAGCCACGACATCTATTGCCTTGGAGAAGGGTAAGTGGGTGTGTGCCGTGGTAGTTGGTCAGGCTAGAAAGACAGGCATTCTGCATCAGCCAATTCTGTTTTCGCTTCTCGAGGGAAATAAACGCGGATATTAGTGTTACTTACCTTGTAGCCTTGACACAGGGCTTCACGGTGATCATGCGGCCATCGTACTCTGATATCCAGGTTCGCCAGCCGTTGTTGTAGACGCGTGGATCGTCGCGTTCTTCCTTGTTGGAACGCGCAATAGTAGCCAGAGTGGTGGGGTCCACGGAGGGCGCTCTGGTGACCCTGGTGACGAGACGGTGCGCGCTGGTGGTTGCGCTTCCCGTCGAAGTTGGGGAGGTCCCACTGGAGGAGGGGGGAAGGAATGTAGCATCGGTCGTTTGTGCCTCGGTGACCATGCTGGGGTGATCATACCAGGCAAGGGCCGTGGAAGCCGTGGCCAAAATGGTGATGAGGACGCTGCGCATTGTCGTAATGGTTGGAGTTGAAGGTCCCTTGGTGTGGTGGATGGCTGGATGTTGGTGGAGATAGATAATGTATTCCTCTTCTTGGCTCAGAGAAGAATACTTGCGCAGTGTAGTCTAATGCAGAAGACAAAAAATGATGAACGGGAAGAAGATATTATATACATTTATCCCAAATTTTCAGAGAATGATTGGAATCTCTATCATAGTGACCTTGGTTGCCGCACCTCGCAGACCATGGTTACGCTTCGCCAAAAGACATGGTCGCATGGCCCCTGAAGAATCCTGATTCGCAAGATTTCCAAGGCGTTGTAAATCTGTACCAATGCAAAGTCAAGAATGGCCGACAGAACCACGGAACAAAGCTACGACGCACGGGTATCGAATCAAAAACCTCACACTGCATCATTTACACCACTCACCAGTGCCGCGCAATGACCAGCCACCCCCTTTCCTTGACCGCATTGAAGAGCACAGCAACCCTCTTCCGCTTAATGCCCTCTCTAGCCGACACATCTTCAATCGCATGCTTACCGTCCAAATGCCTTAGTAGCATAGGCCAGCTCTCTCGCAGTTCCTTGCCCGTTATACCACCAAAGCCACCATCTGCATGTTTCGGTGGGCTCGGATTCGCGGATATCATCGCAGTCTCTTCAAAAGTCTGGGCAATCTTATCAAGCCACCTGGCCTCAATAGATGATGCTTTTTGTGGGGAAAGGATCGTGGTGTGGGTAAACAAAGCGGGGTCTGGTAGTGTAAGCTTCTCGACGGGAGATGTCGGTGAGACGATCGAGTTGCGGGATGGCGATGGCGATGGCGATGGCGAGGCGGGCTTGAGATGGAGCGGTGATGGACGATGGGGCTTTGCGTCTCGTAGCCCGAGATAAGTTGGTGACTCTGCTCGTTGCGATGGGTTGAGCGCGATGGTTGTGCGCTGACTACTCGTACTGCCGGCGTCAGACCCGGTGCGAGCAGAAGAGTTCCGTGACATGGCTGTCGACCCGAGACGCGGGCTCAGTATGGTGCTGCTATCCATGTCTTCATCCGCATCTCGCCGCGTGCGTCGCAAAGGGGTCGAGGTCCTGACCGAGTTTAGAGAAAGCAAACTGCTTCGTTTGTCGGAGAGCAGACTGTCGGCTACTGAATCGTTGTCGCTCATCAACTCTCTGCGCGCCTCTTCGGCTTTCTTGATACGCTCTTCCCGCTCAATCTCGGCTGCCACTTGCGCTTTGATCTCAGGCGTTACCCGTACCCAGGCAAATGTGCGCAATTGTGTGACCCAGCCTCCACGCATGAGCCAAGCTAAAATCTCCATGTAGGCATCGCGATGTTCGGCGGTGGGTATAAAGGTTCTGTACGGTCGGGGCGTACCGGAAAGCATGCTCAGTACCTTAGGTAGCGTAGGCAACGTAGGGAAGCGCTGTGCGTAGACTGATATCGCGGCCGGGAGAACAGTCATATCGGCATTCGGACTGACGATGTAGGTGTCGCGTGGTGACAGAGGAGCGATAAGACGCGCGCGCCGCCAATAGACAAGATGACTCGCTATGTACTCCATATCATGCGCTGATATATTATGCTTCTTGGAGATCTTCAGTAGCGACTTGGTGGGTACGATGTTGCGTATGTAGAAGGCGATAGCCGCCGCATTCCCACCAGCGTCGCCGCCGAGGTCCTTGATCAGCACCTCGGCATCCTCCAGGAGCAACAGGGCGGCATGCTGCGTCATGGGTGCATCGTCGTCCTCTAGTATAACGTTCGAGGTCGTAAGCCATAGGCCTGGCATCTGAGGTTCGATGGCGGTGGGGAGGTATGGCGTGGAATCGGCTTGTGGGATCTGAAAGGATGTGTTGAAGGTCGCGTCGAAATGGATATGAGCTATCTTGTCGTGCGAGATGGCATCGAACATGATGGCGATGGACTTGGCAAGCGGTGATGTGCTGACAATCTTCTTCCACGTCGCCGTCAGAGACTCGTTGGTCTCCTTGGCCCGCTGCTTGATGTCAATGATGCGCTTGGATTCTTTCCAGACGTACTGAAACCGCGCCTCCTCGTACTTGAGTGCCTTTGCATACTTGCGCGTAACGTTATCGTACATCTCCTTGACGCGCTGCTGGTACTCGAGTGCAGGCGGATTCAGCACGAAGACGACGTTGAACATGGTCATGTCGGGGTTGTTGTTGTCGTGGCTCGTCGAGTTGCTCCGCGCGTCGGATCCAGCCTCTGAGGGAGCGCCTGAGGGTCCGCTGGACATGGAACCATGGCCGTAGCCTGGCTCGAATCCCTCGGGCATTCTGAACGGCTCCGGGACGGGTTTCGCAGGCGCTTCGGGGGAGTCGGCGTCATCGTCATCGCTGGCACTTGTGAGATTCTTCATCAGATCGCCATCTTCAAGTCTTTGCTTGTCCGATCGCTTCTTCCTTTTCCGCTTCGCCTTCTTCCAGAGCCCGTCTTCCCGGACGAACATGGGCGCGCCCAGAAAGACGATGCTCTCGACGCCCAGCTCGAATCGCTTCTTGTTGTACTCCTTGCTGGGGCTCAGCATCTTCTCCAGCGCATCCGTCTTGAAGCCGAGCACCGTGCCCCAGTCGTGATCTCCGCCCTTGCCCCGACTTCCAGTAGCTTCCTTGTCATCGTCGTCATCTGCATCCTCCTCATCAATCGTCTCCTGCCTGCCCCATAGCCCTGACCCCAGCTTGTCCTTGTCGCTCACCCGCCCAGTCAAGGTTCTTCCCGATCGACGGCCGCCACTAGTGCGACTGCCTAATTCGATGTCGTTTTCATCGTCCGAGTCGGTGCTGCTGTCCCAGTCGCTATCTGAGCTTCGCGAGTCAACGCTGGCCGTGGACGTGTCGTGACGGAACCAGGCTGGGTCTTTGGCCGCGGCAAGGGCGGCTGCTGACGGCGATAGCGGCGGATAGTGGAAGACAAGGCGAGGACCGAGCGACCGCGATTTGGTGACGAGGAGGATGGCGTGGAGGTTCGAGGCAGGTGGCAGTGGGACGGCCATTGGGTGCATGGAGGACGCGCAGACGCACATGCGGGGAGAGAGCTCGGGAAGCTGCGGAGCGCCGGGAGATCTAGCCCAAAGCAGAATAGACCCTCATCTGTGAAGAAACAAAGTCATCCTAGGCGATGATTCCAAGAACACAATCTGACCATAAGGGTTGATGACAATGTTAACCAGCTCTAATGGCGGCTAGAATGCGGTGCGAATTCCCAAAGCAGAACACTGCCTGGGGCCTTCTGTGAGGGCACAGCGTGGACTCATTCACTCACAGTGCAGCGATCGACTGTCTACCCAGTGTATCCCAAGTACTAAAGTCTACTCTCACCTACTGGTAATTCAATGACAGAAGATGTATGGCATGGCAGGTATGGCTTCCGCACTCGAATATACTCCGCGCTCAAGCCCAGGCAGAGTGCCCACCGCGGATATCACTCAATACTTTCTCGGAGACGAGTTGACCAAACTAGCAAGCTTCATCAGTGGCGCTCCCCCTAATCTCTTACACGACATCATGTCCGCCACGTCGGAAACTAAGCTCAGGATACTCCTGGCCAAGTTCAGCCCTATGGATCCACGAATCCAACCCAGCGTGTCTATGCAAGCCACATGCGCACGCATCACACGCTGGCTGGAAACCAGCAGTGAAATCTACGCGATAAGCAAGGACGTCACTCCCTACGCCTTGTTCCTCTTCCTCAAGGTCAGAATCCTGAACAGTTTTACAAATAAACTCCCTACGCACATCGAGACGGCCAGATTTGGCGTCGCTGTCAAGATTGCGTATGGCAATCTGTGCGACGGCACAATGTGGCCTGAAACACTAGAATCTCTTGTAGGTATGCCATTCGACTATATCCAATTCGTCGAGCTCGAGTTTCTGAAAGACTTGGACTGGAAGTCTTGGGTGCGCGAGCTTGACTTTACAGAATTTTTTGAGAGATTCAAGATCGTGTGGGATGTATTGCTTGACTATGACGACGAGACCTTTTGAACCATAGCATTCTCTCCTGCCTGGAGGAAGACCCGCGGTCCAGGAAAGGATTCTCTTCGAACGCAGATCATTTCACGACCTCTCAATGTTAACCAAAATCCTTGTCACATGGCAGTAAACAGGGTCTACTCGGTAGTATGTCAGAGTCAAACAAAAATTATTACCTTGTCGTTGTCACATTATCGATGATTTGGAGCTGACCTCAATTTTGAAGCTTTGCTATCTTAGTGGTCCTTCTGTTGTCAATTCTACTCTCATATTGTCTGGCCTCAGCCGAATAAAATGTCACTTGAAGTCGCTCGCGCCTGTCAAGATCTCAACTCCATCTCTTCAGCGATCTTGGTATAATTGCAAAAGTTGCGACCTCCTGGAAGTTATAGAAAGTCACCCAAGTTTAATGCACCGCCAGTCGCTGCTCATACATACTGGGGTTACCGTCCTCTGAGTGTTCACCACTTCTGTTCCTTCAAGTATCTAGCCCTGCGCGACTTGGCAGCATCTCTCCGCCGCCAGAACCGCGTCAATCCACGCCAGACTCGTTGCCGCCTGCACAAAGTTAACCTACTGCAACCTTACGCCAATGATGTGTACGGGCAGACTCACATCAGGACCAAGACCATAGTGCCCGTCACTGGTATGCAGAGCCACCAGAAGTATGCATCGCTGTTCTTCAGACACGGCATGTCTTCGAAGTTCATGCCGAAGTAGCCCACCAAGAAGGTCATTGGCAAGAACAGGATTGTGACAAAGGTCAACTGCTTCATGCTTTCGTTCTGGTATGCTCCCATCGTGTTGAAGATCAGGTTGATCATGCGGTCTGCAGAGCGCCGCATGCGTTCAAGAGACTCTGTGACGGTGATACAGTGGTCCTCTACGTCGCCGAAGTAAGTGTGTGCGAGTGTTGTGATAGTGATGGAGGCTGTCGATGGATCTTTGGGCGTGTATGGAGGTGGAGAGTTGGCGATGTGAGACGATGTGGGTCCTTGAGAGGAGTTGGTCGTCTGCATCAGAGCGTTCGAGTTGTGTTGGCGCAGGGCGTTGACGAGACTGGTGATCGGAGCGATTTGAGATCGAAGGAGGGAGAGCTCGGATGTGAGGATGTACCTGGGAGTGTGAGTGATATGTCATCATCGCAGCGCTTGGAAAGACTCACAGAGCCTTTGAATGTGCAATACTGGGGTCCGTCAGGACGTCCAGCTCCAGCTCGGCTATGCTGTCCTCATATGCTGCAGCAATCGGAATGGCAAGGTCAACAATTCCATCGATAATTGCATGCATAACCATACTGGCATCGCCGCTTTGCCTCAGAACCGTCTCTGGTGATGACAGTCGTTTTAAGATAGGCTCTTCAATTACGTCGGCAGAGTGCTCAAAGAACGATACCAGCGTGTTATTACTCTGCAGGAACATCGACACCTGTTCCACAGAGACCATGAGGCCTTTGGGGTTCAGCGTAGAATGCTCCTCCATGTAGCGTATCCGTTCAGGATCTGCATCAGTACGATACGCTTGCAATGTCTTCACAGCTTGCCGGTACTCCGCAGGTACGTGCTTTTCCCGGTAAGCTGGACTGTTCGTGCTGACGTGTCTTGGAGGTGCTTGTGATTGCCTGTCTGTAACTCCTTCGTTTTTGCGGAGCAGCCGCTGCAGAGTCAAAAGAACTGTCTGCCAGTCAACATACACTCTCAAGCCTCTGCAGACTTGAGAAACATACCAAAGACATGTTCAGGGTACCAGTCTGCCTTGGTTCGATTCCTTGTGTGTAGCAGGTCTTCGATAGCTAGGCTGTGTAGCTTTTGCTTCGCGCCTAGAAGGCGAACCACATCCCAGCTAAGTCCGTTGACTGTAGGTCGAGTCAGATCAGCCTGCTGCTTTGACGAAACCACATCGCCGGCTCCTTACCGTTGATCCATCGACAAGTCACCCAGTCTTCTCGGGGCTTCTCAAGGAGTTTTCGAAGCATCTCATTGTTGAGCTCGTATTTCTCGATCCTGTCGGCAGAGAAGTCGACAGCTGTAATCTGTGATTGCACCTTCTGACGCCATTGAGGCCATGCATCCTCATTTGTGACATCGATGCCAGGCTCACTTCCTGCTGTTGGTTCGCGTGGAGCTGCTACGCTAATGCGTCTTGAGTTGCGTTTCAGGGGCTGGAGACTATCGGTCGTCCTCTCCCGGAGTGATGGTCTTGACGGAGATGGTTCCGTCAACACCAAATGTTGCCGTGTTGATGGAAAGCGCGGGGTCGCAAACGCGCGCGCTCTTTGGGCTTCTGACGTCAGCCGCGAGAACCGCGTCGCCGTGGACCCTGCGACGCTGTGCAAGCGTAGTACGGTGAACATCGCAACCTTCCTTCACAACATCACAACTCTCTGATAGCAAGAATTGGAGCATGGAACTGCGGGCTGAGCAGGGGTGACGATAGCTTGTGTTGATGATGACGACCTCGGCTCACCTCGGCCAAGCAAGGCAAGCGCGCCGATGATGATGCATCGACGCGCGAACACGTGGGCCCAAGCAACTAACTTCCTACTCCAATTCTTCACTTGAGTCTAACACTACTTTCGTTTTAGTCTTCATCCGCATATCACTCGCTACCAATTAAACTCCAAAAGGCTTGAGCGCCGCACAAGAGCCTTTGCGACAATCGTTGTGCGGATAACCTCGTTCATGACACTACAGTCTGCGGCCGTGCCACAACACAGATGATCTCGCGCGTGCAGTCGTTGCGGCTTCCAAGTATGACTTCTGGATCGTCCAACCTCCCGCGATATGGATCTGGGATGCATCAGAGTTGATTCAAAAAGCCTTCAACATGTCCCAATATGATTTTTCCTTACTACGCTGCTCCTTCGGTGCCCCGAGGCCTGCTCTTCGAGCTGCGGTCGCGCTACAACCTGGATATGAAAGCAACACCCTTCGAGATGCGATGATAAGAACGACGAGGGCAAAGGCAGAAACAAGGTGATTTTCCAGCCACGCTCGCAGGATACGAAATGAAAGGCTTAGGGAAGGACATGCCACCAAGCAGAAGTCTATCGCAGCGTGGTGACAGGAGTCAGATGCAGAAAAGTCGCCTAGATGAGCGACTTTAGTCAGGTCGTGAGTAATCTTGCAGTCTTTTGATATATCCGTTATAGATATCGAATAAGTGTATTGGAATGAGCGTGGATAGTTGAGATTGACTCTGAAAAACGACTTGCAACTATACGTATCCTCCAATTGATAGCATCAGCTCAGAGTCGCTGAGACATGTGGTCGGTGAAGACGAAGGGGGAGTGAACTCCCTTGCTGTCTACAGTGACCAGCGGAAAGTCTTTCATAGGAACGCAAGCCAGAAAGCAGAACAAAAGGCGAAGTTGAAAGAAACCGCAAAACTTGGGATCCCTGCATTTTAGACCGGGCTCTCAATGGCCACAGTGTTAATCGCATACAGAGCATCCTAGGATTCTTACATCAGCTACAGCTCAATGGAAGTAAAGACGCCACACTCTTTTCAGGCTGAAATCTCATGGAAAAACTCACCTGTAGCAGTTCCGATACAGTCAGCCTGCCCGGATGTACCGCTGCAGCTCATTTTCTGCAGGCACGCAGCATAGCCGAACTCGCAAATCCCTTCATCATTTAAGTATTGACAAGGACTGAAGGGATCAGGGCATGATCCCTGGATGCAATCGAGCTTGTCATTTTCCAGATAACAGTCTGAGCGCGGCAATCTCGTCAGAAAGGCTTCCTCGTTTTGAGGCCCCCGGATCCAGAGCACTTACATCCGTGGAACATGCCACCGTTGGCATCAGTCGAGTAACCGCACAACGCTCCATCAGGCAGATTTCTAGACCCGTCTCTTTCGGCGCAAGACTCGTGGACCTTGTGGACTGTAATCGTGTCAGTGATGTAACCTGCTGAAGCTTCCTCAAAGTAGCAACTCACCGCCATTAAGGTCGTCGCGCCATGCGTTGTTGGCAACCCATGCTCCACTGGCGTCCTGAGTCCAGGGATGTGCCCCGACGGTGGCTAAGGTGGCAGCCAAGATAGCAATATTGATGATTTGCATGTTGACTGGTCTTGTCTTCGGTCTCGAGATATGGAATAGATAGAATGCGTTGAGCGTCGTGGCTAAGTAAGAACAGGATGGTAAGCTAGTGAGTGCAGTTGTTGATCTTCTGAGTAGAATAAGTAGTGTTCACGAGGGGAAAGAGTATCTTTATACGTCCAGCTGCAGGATTGGGAGCCTTCGCGAGACCATACCTTCGGTCTTGATGATACCTGATGACGTTGAATCCATTAGTATTGTAACCCTAGCCGTTAACGATCCTTCTATCAAGCGATGTAGTCAGCGAGCCTGCTGACGCTGGGGAATCTGATCTGTGCGAGTTGTTGGTTTCTCCAAGTGAATACCTATTCCGTGTTACTTTATTGGGGAGATCAATACTCGCCCTCTGCAAGTAAGCTTTTTGCACAGCATGGACCTTGCATAATAGCGGCTTGCCAATCGAGTAGCCAAGAAATCGATCGAACGTCATGCTGTGGGAACAAGGCACAGTCGTTAACCAGACCGGTCCTTGCTTTTGGACAATACAAAAAGAGCAACAACTACGCGGGCTGCTACGTCAAGTAAGCCCAACCTAACCTCTAGTACAGTAAATAATCGAATCCTCGGTCTCCGGATACCTCCACAAGCTGCTCTAGGATCACCAGGGCGGACGGGCTCCATGCACCGCCGCGTTTCGAGGGCGTAAATATGTGTTAGACAGTAGTTACCATTACGAAATGATTGCCATCATCGCTCGATTCTCATCCTCCTAATATTAGTCTCTATCAGCATCTCTTACTTCTACTTCTGTTAGCCTAATACGCCCTCTTGGCCTAAGACGCCCTCTTGGCCTAATACGCCTTCTTGGCTTACCTGAGGGGAAGGCCTTAATCCGATTCGGATCAAGCACTTTTTAGTAGCCACAATAAGGAGCGCCTCGTGCCATCCCTAGCTGAATTTCCAGCCTACATCTTGAGGGTCGTTGTAGAAGGCATGAGGAAACCTGCGTGCCCGTCCGAGTCAAAGCACGGATATCTGCGATGACGTCCACAAGAGAAGGCGAATCCAACTCCGGCAGTCGTGACCTTGCTGTGCGCGGGCTCTACCCAGAAGGGAAATGCGATGCTTAGCTTGAAGGCCGTTTTGCCATGTAGTCTTCTCGCCGCCGGTCAACCGCAAATCCACTTCTTGGTCTCCACCATGTCATTATCATGGGCGAATGAGCGAAGGCCGACTGCGGTTTACATGGGAGATGCGAAGGGGAACGGAAAGGTCAGCCAGCAGACAGGGCGCGGCTGTCGTTCTCCCGATCCAGAGCGGAGCCACGTGATATGGATGGGCTGTGAACCCATGATCGGTGATCCCGGGGTACGAGTGTGGGACGCATCTACCGGAGTGAGTATCAGCGGAGGTGGTGTAGATGTCGAGGTAGTTGTGAAGTAATTGACTCTGCCAATAGGTCCAGCTAGAGCTTTTCCACCCTGGGTTAGTGCCCCTCCACACCGGAGATGGAGGCGGGGATGGGACGTGGCGCCTGCCCCTCTTTTAGACTTATCACGTAACGGCTCGAATCAAAAGAGGTAGCACGGTCCACACCCATACGAGCGATTGGCTTTGTTGACTCACGGCGCCCACGAAGGAGATGAAGAGGATGCGTCATGTCTCTTTGTGTTGAGCACATGGCGTCTGTCGTCTGTCTTCGACCTATCCGGAGAATTACATTACAAAACTTGAACACTTCTTTCTATACCCTACGAAAAGACAAGCCACCTCAAACTTTTGTGTGGAGCAATTTCACAACCTGACAAGCACATGATTTGCCTAAGATGATGTTAGTATAGACGCGAGGGCACTGTGAAGCTTAGTATTGCTGACGACGTGGTGGGATGCAATGCCTCCAGCAAAAGCTCTTCGAATGCTAGATCTTGGGGACAATATACAGACACTTTCCAGTCAGCCCACATGGAAGGTAGTGATTCCAGTGGAACCAAGCCAGGTCGAGGAGTGATCAAATCAGACTACAGTCCATCGTTCATTGCTGAGACAGCCATTACTCAATCTTCAGCTTCCAATAGTGATGATCGTGTTGTGACTGGCGCGACGACATGTACCAGGACACGCGAGACACTTGCCAACCTGAATACTGCAGTGAGGCGTCGGTCTGCGCAAACTGTCTAAACTATTACCTAGGCATCGACGTTTCCTGATACATGTGACATTGCATGCTGATGAAAATCCACAAGTGTCACACATCGCCAAGGCTTTGTGTCCAGATACCCAATGCTTCAATCTCGAACGAGATACGCGTTGAGACAAAGTTTGAGGTAAGTGATTCGGTCACGGATTCGTGCTGATCGTCCTGATAAATGTGCACACGATGATATGTGTGGTCATTTGCAGACAGGGCCGGCAAATCTTCATTAGGAAAAAGCGGCTTTGTAGGCAGTGAGCGTAGCATGATGTCAGTCGTAGAATCAAGGAGGTTGTATTCCGCCTTAAAGCAAGAGGCAGGCGTAGCAGCTATCTTGATAGCGATTCAAGCTAGCTCTGCCTCAATAACACTTTCCACAGAGTGAGGTGGTCTCCAGATGTTAAGCACCTTTAATCCCGCACTTTCTACCAGCCCCCGCCACTCAGCCTCCGTCCTCTCCTTCGCACCAAGGCACGCCATCATGGTGATATCGGACGTTGTCACCCGAGCGAGCGGCTTCACAGAGCTGACCAAGCTTTCGTGGATGAGCAGCTTTGAGTATCCGGATTCCATAGCTCCAGCAAGGTGAGAAAGAATCTGCTTCGCCTGTGTGTCTTCCCAGTCGTGGAGCACGTTGTGCATGAAGTAGACACGGGCACCCTTCACGGGCTGTGGTTCAAAAAAGTCATGTGGGTAGATGGAGATGGTGTCGTCAATTGTCAACTCCTTGAGAATATCGGGCAGGTCTTGAAGCACCAGACTGCCCTCAGGGATATCAGGGTGGCGCAGATGGAACTTGATCAGGTCGTGGCCCTTGCTACCACCGACATCGACAACTAGGGGCCGGTCAGGCTTGGATTCTTTTACAAGAGTCTCGGTTGGGTAAACATCAACCCAGGGCGTCAGGTTATACTTGGAGTGGCTTTCCATGGCATCATTGAATTCCCTTGCAGCGGCAGGGTTCGCGCCAAGGGACTGGAACAAATTTTCATTCGAGCCTTTCATGAACTGCCAGTTGCAGTCGTTGGGGTTAGTAGGGACCTTGTATCCCGTCTTCTTGAGGTAGGCAGGCAAAGTCCTGAGCATAGGAGAATTGACGAAGCCATAGAATTCACCATAGACATTGGCGAGGGCCTGATCTTCAGCAAGAGCGCGTATCCACGGTGTAGGCTCATAGGTGTCCTCGGCGGTCTCGATGGCAAGATTCTGCCCAGAGATTTGCCGAATCATACGTCCTGCATTGCCGTCAGAATGATCATCTTGAGTTAAGCGAAGTAGATATGCAACTTACGAACAAGCACTACATCGGCACCCGTCAACTCCGCCAGTTCCGCGCAAGTCTTTTCGCCGCCTCCCGTCTCGATCCATTTGCTGAAGACACCCGCGTCAATCAATGTCTTGACGCATGCATTGGTGGCCGGGTTGACCCAACAGTGCTGCCAAACAATGTCCCACGGCTTTTGTACTTTGCTCAAGGCCAGCGACAGCGCGTCCATGACACGGACGCGCTCTGCTTCGTTAACGAAGGAGTTCGCGTCGAGGCCCTCCAGGGCTCCGATAAGTTGGTCTGCTGATGCCATGTTGGAAATGAAAATTGACTTTTGCGGAACGATGCAGGAACAACGGAAACGGCACACGGTCTACTATTTGACAAAGTGAAATGTTCTTATCTACCGTCGGATTCTGACCATGTCTGCCGGTTGACTAGAGGGTTCCCAATACTATAGAAGTTAGTAGATTTCTTGTAAAAGCTAAGCGCATACGAAGGTCCATTTTTCTTACATGAACCTTTCCTAATACGTAATTTGTCCTCAGCAACCCTATGTAATCGGGATGGCCAAACTTATTAGGTATCATCTGGTCACGCGGCTCCTCGATACAGTGATTGTTCTTGAATTACATTGAATACGTCGCACGGTTTGATACCGTGCAGTTTGAATTGGTGAGCACTGATCAGTTGAGGACACGGTATCCGGAATTTGAGTGAGCAAGGGTATCTCAGGGGCAGACCCACCTGTTCGGCCACCCACGTACTTCTCACTCCATTTTCGGCAAGTCGTGCTTGGCATACAGCCCCTTGGACTCGTGCGAGCGACCTTGGCAGGAACTACTGATTGGTATCTATTGTAGCAGTTGAACCTTGGTGTTGCTGAAAAGCCTGTATTAAGGACTTGGAACAGGGTTCTCACTAAGGGAACGTGAGACTTCTTGTGGAAACATGAAATCCAATGTTGCTCTTGTTTCCCGCTCAAGTCGCATTCTTCCATGGTTCTTCACCTTGATAACATTACCGCAACAACATTCAACAACACCAAAGCTTGCCTAATCAGGCCATCACCACGATGCTGCTGCCTTATTGCTCGTGTGGATACCTGGAGGAAGTACTGGCCCTCACATTGACACCAAGCTAAGTGTTACGATCGTCAATTGGCTTCGCCCGTCGGTCACCCTTTGCACTCGTGGTCACCTCAAACTCAAGTGTCTTGTGGATCTGGTCCGCGCCGTGGTAAACAAGCGGGATGTCGTCGATGCTTTCACCTGCGTGGCTCGATGTCCTCTCCTCGTCACCCGATTGATGCCCTTGGAGTTTACCCCATCTTCCGCTGGTGCTAGATAGCCCTCGGTGGGTGGTGCTGCTGCGTCGTCTCTGGCTGGCGTTCTTACTGCCACTGAGAGTCCGTACTTTGCCTCGGACCGAGCGGAAGAGCGGGCCCAGCGTGGGCAAAGAGGAGCATACCACGAGAATGCAACCCTCTCCTAGACCGAGTATATCGAGAAGCGGAACCGGGTCTAGCAAAGTTAGTTCTGTGCTGAGAAATTCGTGGAGTGAACGACTCACAAGTCGGGTTCTCCGCCAATACGACAAAAACCTCCCCAAAGATTGTGAGTTTGTAGATGGTGAGGATGAAGGCCAGGATACTGAGGCCCAGCGCCATCGAGACCAGGATACGGTTCTTGAGCGGCATGTTGAGGCGCATAATGAATGGAATCGGGTAAAGGGCAAAGAACACGTCTAGGAAGGCAGAGTAGGCCGAAGTGAAATAGCCCAAATTTGACATGACCTTGGTACTGGCACATGTTCCGCCAGGTATGGTTCTGTCCCAGCCGAATTCAACCGGATCGCATTGCTTGTACCACCAGATTGAGGTAGCCAATATACAGGCCTGGGAGCTGAGCGCGAGGCCCCAGAATAGTATCGTCGTCTTGAGGCCATAGTCCAGAATGCGCTTGAGGATAGCGATAATGGCGAACTTGGGTAGCGAAAACGTCCATATCAGTACCGAGCTGATGGTTACATTCCACTTGAGAGCTCGCGGTATCAACAGGGGATCGATAGCCTCCATTCTTCGTCCAAGACCGTACTGGGTGCCGATTGTGATCAGGATACAGGTGACGAGCATCACGACGACGCAGAATACGGTGATATAGTCGTCCATACCAAGGCCACCGCCTTTGCTGGATATGCGAGTGCCGACTCTCAACGCCACGAAGGCTACAAGACGATTAGCTGGTATTCAGCGCAACATAAGAGGGCTACTCGCAAGCTGTGACTGCGAACATAGACCAGCAAGCCCTATCAGCGATGGTGCCATAGTCTTCCACGTCCCACAATCCCATGATGTTGACGATCGGTGTTGCAAAGGTTTGCAGAACGTGAGACGGACATTAAACCCTCCTGGCGCGATAAAGTGGGCTCATTGTTCAATGCACTGCCGTGGGATGCGGCATAGCATGAGCCGTAGGATGCGTTCCATGTAGCGGTCAGAATCCTTCGCCACCTGAATAGTTCCGTCAAGTATCGATCTTCGCTACCTAATCGGACTTGTCATTTCGTTTGCCAATTGATACTGTGAACAGACGGTCGACAGGCTGATCACAAACTCACACAGGGGAAAATAGCTGGAGAATCGTTCCGTACAAAAAATGTTGAATGACTCAAGCCAATCAGGACACGACTATCGCGAGCTATGTCCCAGGAAGGTCAAAGGATTCCTACCCCAGTAGTTTGCCGTGCCTTGGCGAGACTCTGCGTTGAAGAGTTCCCGTGGTTCATGACTCATTTGACCGACAGACAGCTCTCTCCCAGAACAAGAGTGACATGCAGCGTGAACGGCAAGCGAGCCGACCACCGCACCAAGATTGCGCGACTCTCTGCTTTTAGCTGCAATGTCTTGACAATTCAACAGGAAAATACTCCACCTTAAGAACAGATTTATCCTAGCTATTCAATCAATGGAAGAAGGCGCTTTTTTGGCATGCAACGCGTTGCAGCAATCTACAGCGTTCGTCGAAGCATCCTCCATGACCGACGCGCCGGAACGACATCACGATGCGAATCCCAAGCTAAATCGTCAAGGCTTACGGGATACAAAGAAACCACGCTATTCCGATACGTAAGAAAGCTATATACGCGAGGATTTGAGCCTACACTAGAATCTGCGCGCGGAGTGACTCACTAATTGCTTGCTTTACACGGTGATGGCCAAGTTGACGATCGATGGGCCAGCAACCTCGTCGGTCGCAAGCCTGAGCTCAAAGCTCGACTGAATCGACAGCACAATCGCCAAAGATTCCTGTGCAGCGATTTGGCGGTCATTAGCCCTGTTTTGACTTTGGACAGAACAAAAAGAGGAAATACCGCATCCTAGATGAAGATACCTAAAACTTTGACGAGACTGACTCCACTATAGGTGATGCAGGAGGAGTAAAGGCTGTTACTACTTCAGAAAGATGTAGCCGGACTATAGGCGTTCAACCTAGCAATCGCGAGTGGGTTACGTTGATGGCAGTAGTCAACGCGAAGGGCTGGGCTGTCCCGCCCTTCTTTGTCTTCAAAGCCAAGAACCACAATAGCACCTGGTATCACGACAAACCAAAAGACTAGCAAAGTGGTGTTAGCGACAACGGCTCAATAAGAATTGAGATTTGTTTAGCCTGGTTGCAGCACTTTATTAAGCATACAATGGCAGGTACGATAGGTAGCCATAGGCTGATTATGATCGACGGCCTACACCTCCTACATCAGCGGCTGCTGAATAGAACCCTAAAACACTAAGTAACGCTCCGTAAGCATTGCATAGGGTATTAGTAACAAATGCAAGATGTGTCACATATCACTTGTAGGAAGCGATGAGATTAGTAACTGACCTATTCCTCTCAGAGAGCAAGGTACGGCATGACTGACCCTAGACTCTGATACCTTTGATACTGGCACAGACCTCACTTCTATCGCAGCTAGTAGCTGTAGCTCACCATCAAGTACGCCTGCTGGTCCAAACTCTTCCGTCTTATCACTTTCTGACGCCAGAACCGTGCAGATCAGCAATAGAGAGGTACTACGGAAGCAGCTCTCCAAGCCGTACACCACGGTCGATGCTCATGTCTTGCTCGCACTGGTCGCAATTTCCAGGGTTCAGACAATATAGTATTTAGTTGTGGCCACAAGACTGGCACCCACGTCATCAACAAGATTAGTACCAAGGTCCGTAGAGATTCAACAGCAATCACGATACTCGGGTCGACATCAGTGGCGGCAACTTAACAGCTAAGAGCTGTATCATCAAAGCCAAAGTACAATAGCTTAAGCGAAAGAAGTAATATAGTCGTCTTCTCACAGAGTTTGATCCTTCCAAGCCACATAGCTAGTCGTTGATTGTCTTACCATCGCCTTCCATGCGGTTCGTGTCTGTGATTATTCTTGGGTATATAATTTAAGTGCTAGGTTGTATGTTCATCCAGATCTGCGACCCATCGCGTCTCTTTGTCGAAGTCGCGTCGTTCCTCGCCCTTGAGGTTGCCCAGCCCCATTTCCCGCAAATCTTTGAGTATATTGACAGCCTTACTATAACTTTCCTTCGACGTATAACCTTCATCAGTCAAGACACCTTGTAACTTTTTCCACAATTCCTGGCTCTTATTGAAAGAGTCTGCCTCTTCGTCGTGTTGCCGTATCTCCTCTGATGAGAAATGGTACGGACATGGTTCGTTCGTATCAAAGTGACCCCACTCCCTGCAACAATGGTCAGCCTGGGAACATATTGGTAAATAGATCAACACACCTTTCAGCGCGAATCAAACATTCTTCAAAAGGAAAGAGGCAGTTGTCCCAGGTAGAGCCAGCAAAAGCTTCTAATTGCTTGAGGGTCTGACCGTGGGGATGTCGCATAACCTTGTACATCAGAGGGTTCTTCTCCGCCGTGGTTTCTTCATACGTGTGAATCAAGATAGACTGTGACACCTGGTATCTGAGCTTATCCTTCGTAGCATCGTCGAGTGTTTTGAAGTTCTCAGGGAGCTTCATCAACATATCGATCCCATAGTCTAGAAGCAATGGGGGATTGGCACTGATAAACATCGGGCCAGCCCAGGCTCCCTGCCAATCAATGATGCATGATATCCGGGCTTGGTCGTCGATGTAGACGTTACCAGCGTGGAAGTCTGGGTGCCAAAGTCTAGGAGAGGCAAGCTCTGGATCCTTAGGAGTAATACATGAAACTGTGGCTAGAAACTTCTCTAACAGGGCTGCATGAGCCTCCTGAGACATCTGTTGTGGGCTTCTGTACTGCCATGGAGTTTTGCTCGGTTCCTGTGGGTCCGCATAGGCATTCATCCATTCGATCTCACGGCGAGCGATAGACTTTAGGTATTCTGCAGAATATGTCCCTGCAACTGTTGTAAATCTAAATTTGAGTTTTAAAGACGTTGGGAGACTTACATTGACCATGATATTGCATATCACTGCGTTATTTCGCCCAGAATTCTCTTCGAGTGATGGGTCCAATGCAATAAGTAAATTCTACGTGACTGTCGACATCTTGCGGACCATTTGTAACGACAGCCGGCTCGCATCCTGCGATACCACTATCTTTGAAATAGAATGAGCCCAATCTGATAGCGTGTGTAAGTTGAACTGACCGCAGATTCTGTGTTGGCGCAAGTTGGATCTTACTTGTCGAAGGAGATTGAAAGCAGTCTCCTCTCAATATCTACGAACTCACGAATAATGTCAGACTTCTTCCGTAGTGGAAGATCCTCCCAAACCTCGTGGAGTTGAATGCCACTTGCTTCTTCTATGATAATATATTCTGCTTGGACAGGATTTTGGTCGGTAGCACTCCAAGCGAGAATTCGTGGGACGGGTATGTTCAAAATCGTCCAGGCAAACTCCATAGTTGCCACTTCCGATGCCATAGTAAGCTTTGAGGAAAGTGAGTTATTCTGGGTCGTGACGTGATCATTCGTGCCTTCCCGCTCTTCCTACTTCTTCTAGAACCTTGACCCGTTTTCCCGCGTGTAGAGCCTCGTCCTCTTACGCTCTGATAGCAACGACATATCTCTCGATAGCTGGGCTGGTTCCTTCAAGAGCGCGATTCAACCTCTGTATGCTAGGCCCTGAGCGACCATGCTCACTGCCCGACCGTCTCCTCGCTGGGCGTATCAAGAACCCTGCGGAAGTCGTCGACGTACACATGATACGTTCAATCTGGTTACCGCACACGGTCGAATTCTCTATGCAGGAGTTCCAGAGGTTTGTTCGCATACACGACGAGAATGGAACATCGTAGAATTTCGATTACGGCACTATCCCTCACAACGGGGGTCGTTACAGTGATGAGACTTATCTCGCATGACTTAGACAGCATTGGTTGATGCTAGATGAGCGATTTCGAGCCTGGTCAGCAGACTGAACGTGTATGATATCTGTGTACGCTGGAGCCGAAAGGTCTTTCGCACCTTGAATACACGGCAGTCACTACGGAAACGACTCTTGTCATACTACCAGAAGCTTCCTATCACTTCCACCCAGAATCGTGCCAACTTCACAACCATCTCAGCTCATCTTCTCAGCTTGCTTGAACCTGGCGAGAAGTTGTCGCGACCTTGACTGTCTAGTCCTCGAGCTTATGAACACCTCGCTGAGTTGAGACCAGTAACCCAGCAATCATTTTGTTGTCCTGTGCATGGCGCGTCCTGTCGCAGAAGCTTAGTGTCAACAATGTTTGCCTACGTCGCAAGATGGATAAGACGTACCCGGCACCGTCGATTAGCTACTGGCCTGAATGGAACACATTCTCCAGGTCCGCCTTCGTCAGGTATAAAACACAACTATTGATATCCGTCAGTACATGAATCTTACAGTGTCTGATGTCTGAGAATACATGCCCCGTCTTGTGCGTAAGCGATAGAAGCGAACATGGCAAAAAGGACCAGAAGATTCATGTTCTTTGTTGGTGGACCGAAGTATTTGTGATTGTGAATGATGTTTTAGTATTCCAGCACAACCAGAGAGCAGACTTTATATCGTCGCCAAGATGTCTCAGTATGGCCAAAGTTTACTTCGATGCCATGATTATGCAGGATACGAGATCCCAGTATAGCATCGCTGAACAGAGCCGGCTTCTCAATTGTGCAAAGCATTATGTCCCTGTCGTTTCGCCTTGTCCGGGATCATACGGAGTAATAGCGCTTCCCGTGCTGACATCTCACTCCTGGTAATTCCAATAGTTTGTTCTACCGGTACTATTCGTTGCGCGAATGAAGACAGGCAACACGGACTATGTTTAATAATATGTTTGCACGATTTGGCCGATCCTGCTGTGAACGAAGGCTTGTGATAGCTTACTCCCAGAACCTTCGAAGTCCTTGTTAGAACTGCGCACTGCTCTGCAGGCCGCTGATCTTGATCTCTCTGGCAATCGTAGTTGCTGCTCTTCTTTCCTCTGCTATGATGCGAGAATACCGTGTAATTACTGATATCGTGATGGAGGTAGTGGACGCAGTCGAAGCAAGATTCCAAGAAACAAAACAAGCTTCGCGCTAGTATGACAGTCTATACGAGTAAAGCAGTAACACGCATAATTACTAATCCGCTGTGAATAACTAGTCAATCTATGCTGGTTTTGAATCATGTAGTGAGAGAAGTATACAGGTACAGGCTGCGCATTGTTGACCGGAACATGTCGGCCTAATAATCTTACCAAACTTTAAATACATGCAAGTTAATCTGATAGGCTCCGCTTGCGATAGCTTTCCGAGAGATCCGTAGCTTACTCTAGCGGGTAATTCTATATTCAAATGATGCACAAATCCTGTTCTATCTGTCGACTCCGTGCGTCCCTTAGCTTCCCTTCTACATCCAAATCATGTATATATACTTCTCCAACGAATTCAAACTTCCCATCTCGCGCCCTCCCCAGCAGATATGGCACGTTGACCCCCTCTACGAGCACAATAACATCTCCAGCTTGCGCTTGTTCAGGTCCCGTTCCAAGCATGTTAGTCAAGGCCGTCCTCAGAAGCCGCCGCGTAGGATTGTTGTCGCGCGACATCTGACCGTGGTGCATTGCGTCTCTAGTCATGTCCCTGTACCATTCCCGATACTGGGGATTGACACCGGGACCCCATGTTTCTTCACCAGACCAGTTTTTCATTGTGTCCGATGACAGTGCGTATCCCAGTGTAGCAAAAAGTTCTTGTGCCCGGCTGACTAAAGTAGGTATTGGCTCCTGTTCTTCTTCAATCTTCCTATTTCGAGTGTCATTAATGCCAAAGGGAAAGCCAGCGTCCAGGTCTCGCAATATCTGCCACTGACCGACTATGCGGGTAAAGCACAGGAACTGGAGCCAGTCTTCGAAATGGCTCCCGTTAAAATGTTCAATATAGGGTTTTTCGGCTAGACTGCACAATAACGCTTATCGTCTTTGCTCGAGGGTTGCATCAAGCTTCGACAATAGCTCTAGCCATCGAGCCAGTCCGTCAAGGTTCTTGCCCATTTCATTAAGTCCTGAATGAGCAGTCTTCGCTACAACATCCCACAAGTGATAGTTAATGACGAGTTCGTTTTGTGATGTTATGTGAACGCCAGAAGGGCGATTGCGAGCGACCTTTTCAATGGAAGATGTGACTGAAGTAGTATGATGTAGCTGTCGTACATTGATACCTCGAAGATGAGAAGTAAGCTAACTGTCTAAATCCGGTACCCAGCTTGGGAGGTTTGTATTCGTCAAGCGACTACTTAGTCCGCCCAACGATAGGATACATGGTCCATAGACAGCCAAAAGGCTCTTCGCGACATCGATGTAAAGCCATACAAGAGACAGCGAGTAGTCCGGTCGGATGCTTTGAATACCGTGATCATCCTTTCGTTCAATGGGTGAAAACGCAAGTACACAGAATACCTTGTCTCTGGCATCTGTAGCTTTATGATTTCGACTCAAGGAAAGAGCAGACACCATAGACAGTCTGCCTTCGCGTTGGCACTCTGTTCGCCACTGAGCCAAGCGAAGAGGTGAAACATGGCCTCGCTCCGGTTTGTTGCGAACCATTAACATCCCACCTGAAAGTGCCGTGCCGAACCACGTATGCCACAAAGTATAAGAGAAGATCGCGTGAGCTTCATCTGTGCCTAGCAGCGATTGGCAGCGCTTCACGATGGATGACATGAGCAGGAATGTATCCCATGGCACGATGTATCGCCCACAAACGATAGTCAAGTCCCTTGCCATAAGGACCTCCTGGAGTATCCAGGCTCTGTCGAACCAAGTCCGGTGGAAGAGATGTGGCAGGCGACACCACGCCCGGATCGTTTCCCTTCCAAGCGTATTGAGCCATTCCATTGCAGCACGCTTGACCCGTGAGTCTCCAATCTGTCGGAACGTGGCGACCGGATCGTTAACCAATTGCTCAAGACTATCGGCTGACAACGTGTCTCCTTCTCTTGCCTGCTCCGGCCGCCACACGCCCTGAAGCAATAGCTCAGTACTGTCTAAGTAGTTGTGAAACTCCCGCCCAAGCCATACGTTGACGCAATCGGAAGCTCGATATATATCGCCCATGATGGAAACCTGTGCTGCTTTTTCGATTTCATCGGCCTGATTAATGCATATCTGGTTCACACGTCAGTTTTGCTGCGTCTGCGATCGAAACCAGCGAGAACTTACGGCATCGACCCAGAAGTATTCGAACGCTGTTACCTCAAGACGGAGAGATGTGTGCGCATGATGCCTCACGTGATCACTTTTGTGCTCTTCCTCAAGGAAACTCGGGACAGACTCGACGTAAGGCCCTCTACCCTCTTTGGCATAATCTAACGGCCTCTTGTTGAGTCTACAGAGAGCATGTATATCACTTCCGGCCGTCACCAGTGCTTTCGCCATGTCAAGATGACCCAACTTCGCGGCGAAGTGTAAGGCCGTTCGACTAGAACTGTCGCGCGCCTTGACGTCAGCCCCTAGTCGCAGTGTATCCTCGACTTTGGAGAAAGTTCCACTCTGCACATCGGCAATAAGATCAATCCCGTTGGAATGCTCCTGTGATTTTTCGGGCCTTTTCCTATCCCTGAGTCTGCGCAGGGCGTCGTATAAGTTCTGCTTGATATGCATCCGATTGCCATTGCACAAAATGGTTGCTAGTTGTTTATACCCGTGCTCGACATCCTCGATAGTAGGTGGGAAAGGACTTCCCCAGGTATAAGAGAGCGCCGCAAATCTCTCGGCACTACTCAGCTCAACTTCTACTAGCGAGCAGGCTATGACGTCTAAATCCTGCCCTGGCGGTTCCAGCTTCAAAAGTCGTATGTTCATCTCTTTCCTCAGCGGATCGTACTGGTAGAGTTCGTGGGTTATAAGACACTCACTTAGCGCTTGTCTTCGATCGTCCTGCGTTCTGACTTCATTGTTGTCTCTCTGTATCCTCGCCTCATCTTCCATGAGATGTGGGGGCAACGACGATCTAGGCATGTTGACGTCGGAGTCCAGATGTTGAAGTTTCGTTGCATGGAAGTACGAGTTCCCTCGCTGGAGATTTCCCTCGATGTTCCTGATCTCGGGCTGAAGATTTGTACACGCATCACGCCACTCTCCGTCGCAAGTAGCGAGACGTGCATGAAGAACCGTACCCTCCAAGCGAATATTCTGAGCAGTCGCACTGAAGTTACTCCAGCCCCAGTGAAATACACCATCTAAATTTCCGATGTACTCATCCAGATTTAAAGACGACTCTTGAACCTCGCCAGTGGACGTGAAACATTCCGCGCGAAGAACTCCGCCATCCATGACTGCATTACGACTGGATGCGGCAAAACCCCAGTGGTCTACAATCATGAGATGTCCATCTTCGTTGATCACATAGTGATCGAGATCCGCTAATGCCTCGAGCCATTCAGATTGTCGTGTTTGAAGACGTGCGCTCAACATGGTGCCCTCTAATCGAAGATCTTCTGCTGTCAAATTGAACTTCTCGCCCTGCCAGTCAAAAGCACCATCGTTGTTACCAAGATGATCATCGAGATCTAGTCGAGACTGTCGCCAATCACCCGCTAATGTCTGACATTCTGCAATAAGGACGGTAAGTTCCAGCCGGGCATTTCGAGTGGTAGAACCAAACCACATGATGTCTGAATAATGATGAAGCAGCGTAACGTCAATATAAGTAACGTTCGATGCTCACAGTCGTGAGAGAGCACGGAGTCAATACAAGCAGCTTTCAATTTCGCTCGCCTTGGGGCCGAGTACAACAGCCTGTGAGCATGGCGGGGCGGATAAAGCCACGTTGTCATCACCAGTCAGAAGGTATGGGGCGGAGTGCGCTACAACCCAACATGCACGCATCCCAACCACAACAACGGGGTCGAAAGCGCTGTGACATACAGTGAGGAACTGAGGAAGAATCGTCGTGCGCGTCTTCTCTGCAGCCTTTTTCTAGATTTACACTGCCTCCCCATGCCTACGTTGTTCTTCGTTCTATACCGCCTCCGCTTCTTTCTGAGCGTACTCTGTTGTTTCACGCCTGGCTTGTTCCTCTAGATAAAGGATACTCTAATCTAACGAACCTCCGGCCATGTCGTTGCGATAGGATGTTTGCGATCATCAGCTTGGTAGAGAGCGTCTTCCTATGGCCTTCTCCGCCGGAGGATAATTATCATTCGTATATGCTTGGTGCATGAACATAGACAACAAGGTTTGCACCAGATGTTGGGTAACTAAAAGGGTTACTTCTACAATCGTGACGAGAGAGATTCACGAGAGTTGTATGTGAGAGCGCCGCTATTATTCGGCCAACAACAGTTCTACATAGTACACGAGCACCTGCGCGCTGTTGCCTTCCTTAGCGGAGGGGAGGTCATGTTGCCAAGCATTAGACATGCGTCTTGATTAGAACTGTTCACGAATCAGCAGCCTATCAGGCAAAGCCTCTATGTCTTGAAGTATTATCATGATGTCGATCAGGAAGCTGTTATCGTTCTTCATATTGTAAGTACGCCAAAGAAACGATAGATTAGTCCACCCGACTCGATGTCACAGGCTGGCCGCATTCCTGTAGAGCACTAACATATAGTAGTTACGTGGCTGCAGCGCAGTTGCTGTGGAGTAGCTTCACATCGTACCATGTGATCCTCCAAAGCCATTACGTCAACATCCTCACAAGGACTTACTTCTCCTACGTCAAGTGAAGTTAGTGGACCCAACAAAAACCACCAAGACGGCACAATACGCTGCGGCAGCAGCAAACAACTCGTGCCTCTTCGCCTTCGTGAGCAGCGACATAGCTGCAGCGAACAGGAGCGTGAAAACCATCAAAACCCCGATAGCTGCAAAAACGCATTCCGTGGTCTTGATAGTCGACAGACGGTACATCGCCAATACCGGAGCTACCAGCAGCAAGAAAAGCGCAACAGTAATGCAGAGATTGACCAGCGTCGACACCCTCGAAGGAGCAAAGTAGTAATTCCTCTTATCCGTGGATTTACGCCTCTGATCATCGGTCCGGAAGAGCCACTACGAGTTGTGAGTAAAGCCTGGAGACCTGAAATGATATAGATCACTCACTTGAATGGGTCTGCTATCTATCTTATGCAACATGGCTTCGACCATGCCGTCAAAACCCGCCCACTCCCTCCCATGTCTGAGCGTCACAATATCCTCTTTCCACAATATATAATCTTGCTCCTCGTCAACAAGGGGCGCACTATTGTGGAACCAGTTTCTCACGCTCTGGTAGTCACGTTCGGTCGGCCGTTGGAAAGAGATGAGCTCTCTCGCTTTGATCAGTAGCTCGTCGTATCGGTTAACTTTGATTCTCAATTCCTCTAGGATGTCTTCTCGCGTCCGGGCTTCATCTTCGTCTCCGTCTTCTTTTGCTTCCTCTTTCTCTTGTCTGCAAACTGCGACGTCGAGATCCCAGGATCGCAAGCGCTTCTTGGAGGCCTCAGGAAGGGTGTTATGGAAGCGGTCCATATCGTCTAGCTCGGCTTCGAGCTTCTGAATACTGGCTTGGTGGCTTAAGAGGAGGCGTGCGTGAACGTTGCTGAAGCCGCGGTAGAGCATGAAGTTTTGTTCACTTGCATTGAAGGCTGCGAGTCGTGCGTAGCCATTCGGACATTTTTCGAGTGTCCGGACTTTGGTTGGATACGGTCCTGACCCACCGGGTGGGAAGATAGATCCATCGTCTTCTTCATCATCTTTGTCTTCGCCAACGGTAGAGTCGGCCTGCTGTTCTACATCGGCTGGCTTCTTTCTTGGTAGCAACAATCCGAAGCTGTTTGCTACGTGCCGCAGCGACTTTATAGTTGTGCTGGAACGAAGAGTGGATGATGAAGACGCATTGGAGTACCGTGTACAGGGGCCGGAGAACTCCTTCTCATTCGGTGATGCTGGGGGAGAAGTCATGATGTAAGAGGCTGGAACACGAAGATATCACCTGATGATAGAAGACAGGAGAAAGGTATCTAAAGGACGAAAATAGTTGACATTCTCAGCTGGGGACTAAATATCGATGGGCTTCTCGACCGGTCAAGCCTCGTTGAACTGATTGGCTCAGGTGTCTCAAACCACATAGACTTGGTCCTGAGGAAACCACTTCCCGTTCATGTAGAGCTTTGTGGTGTCGCCAGCCGTCTCAGTCAGTTGGTACTCTGTCTTCTTGCTCGAAGTCTTTCGGCTGAACGCGACATAAAGCTTCTTCTTCTTTTGCTTGTTGGCGATGATCTCTGTGATTTGAATCTTGTTTCCGGGAACGTATTTTGCGACGGCCTGCGACCAATCAGCGTTGGGTATTGCTCGACAGGGGCGTGCATGGCGCTTACTTCAGCCCCCAGCCCTTTCTCTACCCCTCCACGCTCCCTCGCAACCTTTTCCGTCTACCCCTAGTCAGTGCGCAGCACACAAAATACTGGTAGATAGGGCCATACCTGCTGTTGACCATCGATATGTTCCTCCGGCGTTGTTTGTCGCCCTTCGTCGGCCATGACTGCGAGTAAAATGAGTCGCAGTTGGGCCTGGTTGTCAGCCTTTCATGTTAGGCTGAGTTAAGGCTTTTATCGCCCTCTCCATCTTCAGCTGGAGGTCCCTCATTGTCGCGATAGCGGGCGAGGTGCAGCGTGCCGGTGAGCTATCATTGCTTTTCTTACAGGCAGCAGTTTGTCTGTTGTTACTGATCGTTCGCCTACCCTGACCCCGCCAATCATCGTATGAGACTAGGCTTTCTACAAGGCGGAGTTCGAGAAGCATTAGCCGTTTAAAGCTTGGAGGACCTTCCATGTGATCGTGTGGCTAGTATTGGTTGCATGCTGGCTAATCAATGTGTTCAATGGCTGACAGGGATGGTGGGGCCGTGACCAAGCACAGCCTCAGGTTCGCAGCCCCCAAATATGCGTGACAAGGCTACATGTGCGGACGTGTAGCACAGTCATCAACAGGAGTGAATCCTGATCACCACTCGCACTTCCAATTGTTCTCGCATCATGGCACCGCTTAGTCGGCGCAACGTACGCAACCCGCTGTCACCTACATCGTCGGTGAACAACAGTAGCTCCCTTCCTTCGCCGTTGAGTCTCAACCCTGGAGAAATTCGCTATCCTTAAGATGATCAGCATGAAGCTAAACTTCAGCAATGTTGGGACAAGTCGATCGCAAAGCATCTGGATCTGCCAGATGGATACCGCAATGTGCATGTCCTGGTAATTAAATGGCAGGACGCGATAGATCAGCTGGACGTGCGGCAAGAGGTATGGAGATATCCTTTCGTCTAATCGTCTTGGCATTATGATACTAACTCAACATCCACTAGGTCGATGACCTGGCGAACGTCTTCAGGAAGATCTTCAATTATGAAGTGACCGAGCTACAACTAAAAGAGAAAAACCCGCAGGTCCAGCTTGAGGCTGAGATATTGCGCTGGGTGTACGAGCATGATGATCCCAACAATCTACTCATAGTATACTACGCCGGTCATGGTGTGTACGACAAGGCTCTGAAGGTCCTTGAGTTCTCACCGTACATATCCCAACGCAAAATTCAAGAACTTTAGCTAACAGCAATACCAGGACTGATGATGCGGAAAACGACCTTCGAGCAATCTGGAACGAAGCTGAGAGGACCCTGATCGAGAAAGTAAAGGCCAACGTCCTCACCATCATGGACTGCTGCTACGCAAGCGACCTTCTCCGCAATGTTCCCGAACACGGTCGAACATTCGAGATGATAGCCGCTTCGGGTATCGGCGCACCTACTCCAGAGCCCGGCGAGAACTCTTTCACTCGCTGCCTCATCAAACACCTGAAGGAGTTAGCCGTGGAGAGCTCCGGCAACTATGGCAGTTACTTTGACACGCACAATCTTGTCGAGCGCATGACAAAGGAACGCTTTGACTCACCCCCGAAACTATGGCGGCGCATCCCAGGCAGTAGTCGACACATCGAGTTGAGGAAGCTCAAGCCAAAGAATGAGCGTCCGGCGCAGAAATCTAGCATATCGTCCCACGCACGCTTTCTGCATCTGGGGTTTGCGCTGAAGAAGGAGACCATTAACGAGAAACAGATCCAGTCCTTGACGAAGGACCTCCCGGCCTTGTTCTTAAGTAAAGGGCTACGGTTAGTCAACATCAAGTGGTTGGGATGTAGGAAAGAGGGCAAACCGACGCTGAAGGAAATCGCGCACTTCGTATCGAAGAACCGGAGAGAACTTTCTGCGATCACGCCGCCTCCTTCAGAGAAGAAGAGGAGTGCTGATGAGGCAGATTTAGAGGAGTCTATATCTGATCGACGGTGGTCCAAGCAACCGATGTTGAACACATATGCCTCTCTTGGGAAGTAGATGCTACACTCGAACCTTAATCTTCTTGCATACTGTATTCTATGATCAAGGCTACCTAATTACTTACTGTATTCACTAGTCATGGACATACTGTGTATCGGCCTGTAGAAATTAGCTTCTTCACATATCTGCTCTTCCCTTTCTTTCATCCCCTTCTCCACGCGCTATCATGGATTGGTTGGAACTGACCTGCCACTTGCAGTCGAGAAGGCGTAAACGCTCCGTCCCTTCACCCTCGCATGTCTTCAAGATGTTCTGGCACCACTGCTATACCATCGACCAAACGCAGTTGAACTGACCGCTTTCTTACAGATCACCCACATGCGTCCCGACGAGTGCATGACCATGGTCGCACCGCAATAACCATCTCCAGTGATGCCTATGCGAAGAACTCCTAGGTTCAGGCGCGAGTCTCACCTAAAATCACCGACCTGGTCAGAATTAAGAAGTGTGATAATAGAGCGATGTGCAAACCTAGTCAAATAGTCATCGAAGTCCTTCGTCCTGGCTTTAGTCAGCCTCAGATTTCTTCTCTTCCAAGGGGTCAGTTCTTGAGGCAAGCTCGTTCTGGTAAGCAAAGTCGTTCTTGCAACATGGATCATTTCTTGTCAATCCCACACTACCGAAATCAGCTTTCAGCTCTCTTGCGCAAAGCGTTTGTTTAAAAACCTGTGGATAGAATTATATAGCCACAACGTTCACTGCTAACAGCTGGGGAAAGTAGCATGCAGCAAGAAACGTCACCTCGCATGGAAATCAAAAATCCCGGCTCTTGGTCCAAATCTCCATCAATGTCTTACACACGTGTCGTACCCACTTCATGTACCCAAGCCCCAGCGTCAAACCACTGACAACCATACAACTACCGGCAAAAAATACTACCCTCTCAAACTTACCGACACCGAACTTAGTACTGTCCACGGCACTTCCGAGTAAAGAGCCCCCAACAGGCCCCGCAACCACATTTCCGACCCCTTTTCCTAGATTGAAGAGCCCAAACGCCGCAAAAGCAGCCGTAGGGTCACTGCTCACCGCTGTTCCCATCCTCGCCCACATAGCCGTATACCCTGCCCCAAAAAACCCGTACACAATCGCAAAAACGATTAGAACCGCGTACTGCCTTGCCATACCCCAGCACGCCAATACAGCGATACTCGACATTGCTGTCGAAACAGTGATAAGTAGGTCGAGCGACACCTTCTTGTCAGAGAGGTACCCGAAACTCATCTGCCCAGCAACTTGCGCAGTACCCATGATAGCCAGCAGCAGCGCTCCCTGGCGCGACGACAGTCCAATCGAGTTCGCATATGAAGGCAGGTATAATCCTGGGAAGAAGTAGCCTGTACCTTGCACAAGATTCGAGAGCGAATAAACCCAAAATTGTCCCGCTTTCAAGAACCCCCAGTCCGTCCTAGGCTGAGTCGAGCTCATGCTCCGTTCACTTTCCATTCTCCCCCTCAGAAACAACAACAGCGGCCCCGTCACCACCGCCAACCCGCCCGCAGCCGCTCTTAGCGTAACACGATACCCCCATCTGTTCAGTGCGACCTCCATGGCGAAGGGGATCACGCAACCTGAGAGCCCGGACGCGGAGCATAGAATGCCATAGGCGAAACCACGGCGCTGGATCCAGAAATCATTTACCATGCTCAAGATTGGATAGTAGAAGAGAGTGAAGCCGAGACCGTAAAACAATCCTTGAGTTAGGATTAAGAGGGGAAGGTTGGAAGCGTAGGAGGATGCAAGGAGTGAGAGGAGGGTCAGTGGCCCTGAGGTGGAAGGAGGGGATTAGCGGGGGAGCTAAGGGGGTTTGAAGGGGGTATGAACGTAGGAGCATACAGCCGGTGTAGATCATGTGTTTGCGATATCTTGGGTATCGCTTGATCAGAGGAATCATGACCGGGGCGCCGATGTACGAAAGGCCAGACGCTGAGGTACCGATTATGGAGATGTAGGGATTCGAAGCAAATTGAGGGAGTCGACTGTAATAGTTTTGGAAGACCCCGAAGGAGAGGGGGAATCCTGGCTTCGTAATTAGCGACCAACTTCACGCTTTCTAACCTTCTTACGATGAGGATCAGGGTTGGGATAACACACCCCAGAGCAGAGCCTCGAATATAAAGGCAGAGATCAAGATCCTCCAGGCTGCCGTTCCGCCATCATATGGAGAATGATTTTGGACAAAACGTTGTTCCGTACCCTCATGAGGGACAGCATCGTTCTGAATATCAGGTTGGTTAACGAGTTCTATAACGTCGTGTTGGGTGTTGATATCCATAATAATGTTGTTATCATCTGCTAGTCTTCCAAACTGTTGTGAAGATTTCTCGTGATACAGTTTAGAGATGATATAAGATAACCTTGTTGTAGTAGAAGTAGACCTTCCTGTGTGTGCCGCGCGATCTAAGTAGCCGAGGTTACTGTAGGTGGTTTTGATGTGTAGCAAGTTAGCAGAGGCCTACCGAGGTTAACGTGGATCACGCCGCCTGGCCACAAGAAGAGTGAGACGATCTCACAGAGCTCGGCAACCTTATCGTTCTGTAGAATTCAGTTATTATTTGATAGATACCAAATGTTTGAATGCATCTGCCAGTGAGGCCTCGTCGACACCCACAGCGATGTATACCAGGCAAGAAACTGCCTGATCGGGTAATAGTACATCGAGGTGTCGATTGCAGCACATATTTTGTCACCGTGCTTTTTGCGCTCGGGAACCTTGCGAGGTTTCTTCGGTCTAGAGTCCTCTTGTCTTATCTTGCTTGGGTTTATCCTGCTCCCTTTGACCGTCTTAGGCTGCGCCGGAGAGATTTCTCTATAGGCAGAGGTACTTAGGGTACGATGACCAGGACGTACGGGATGCTTCAATCGAGGAGAGACAAGTTTGGAATGGAAGCAGCGATCTCGCGCTGGGTCTTGTGCAGAAGAACAACAGGAGCTTCCAAGTCAGCGAAGAGCATGAGCAAAAAGGTCTGCCCTTGGTGGTGATAAGAGAGTGACGTATGAGAGTGCTGAATTATGCGCCATGTGAGCTACTTCAGCATATCATCCGGGGAGCCATCCCAAGTTCATGTCATCGCGAACACCCAGCCCCCATCGCAACGGAACCAGATGAAAAATCGATCCACGGGATCAGAGATTTTGAGTCGCGCGAACGTAGCGGATCTGTCCATGCTGTACAGTCAATCGCCACACGGCCACAATGTGAACCCGCTAGCATGACATCGAGCAATGCAGCTTCGCAATACCTACTGTACCCCAACAACAGATGACATCGCGATATCAACCATTTGGTGTAGCGCTGGAACCTCGTATCGATTGGGCCGGTAAGTTGAGCGCTTTGGCATCTGGCACCGTGTTAGTTTCGCGTCGCTCGCAGAACCGCTAGCCTGGTGCGGAGAAGCCCGTGGCATTGCTGACTCAGCCATCGTCATCGCGGCGAGCCAGCTTCGTCGATGCTTGGTCGAGCATCACGACCAAGACGCGACCACCCAAGCGAGGCATACCAGCACTTCGTTCTTACTTACGGCCTTCATGTCCCCTTTTCTCTCTCGTCCTAGTGTCTCTCATCCTCATCGTCCTCTGCATACCCTGTTGACGCGTCGCATGCGAGCGTAACCATCAAGTCCAGCGCTTTCATCCTTCACCCTCACTTACAGCAACATGTCGGGCCACCTCTCAATGGATTCCAGCAGACTTCCGGCATCGAGATATCGCTCGCGCCGGCCAATTGCTCCGATCAGCAACCCACACCGCGTGTCCACCCGTACCCCGCCGTTCATACGAAATCGTGACGCATAACCCGCCACAACAATAGAATCGGTCGATGAACCGACCGAGCAGTCCTGCCTCATTACAGCTATTCTGGTCTTACTCTTCCCGCAGAGGAAGTTGGTCAGGAAGCACAAGCAGAAGATCAGCTGGGAAAAGGCCAAGAAGAAGTTAGGAGACAACATGCGTAAGCTGGGACCGGTCGAAGAATCGGATGAAGTTGTGGGTAAGACCAGTCGGGCAGAACACAAGTAAGCGCAGTTATTCCGAGGTACAAAGCCGAAGGCGTAGCTAAGACGTCGCAGGGTCTTCACGATTGCAAGAACGACGCCTTGATACGGGACATGACCCGAATGCTGGAGCGAGACGCATTCTCTGCCTTCAAGTCTACAGCTGCTCGATAGATCACGTATACTACGAGCCCGAAGGAGAGCGCCATAGCGTAAACGGCTGCGACCATGTCAGGAGCGGAGGTCAGAATCGGGGCCATGAAAGATACACTGGCAGGAAGTTTCCACGAAGCGGCTGGGCATGGCAGCGAAGAGGGTTACATCGGCAGCAGCAGTTGGTGAGTCGGCTTGGCTTGGGCATGAGGACGGCTATACTGTCGGGTCATCGCGAGCGGATCGATCCGTCCACACGTTCAGCGTCAGCGTCCAATGCCTGAGACGAGCCATGCGGCAACAGCCACACCTCTTACATCGTCTTTACTATTTACCGGTAATATTCTCTCCGTAATTGTGATGAATGTCGCGACAGGCGATGACAGCCACTTTTAACGAAGCCAGAGACACAGCACACGCTATAATGCTTACCACTACAGCGATCACCGTCGACACGACGCCTCGAGAAGAGCCTAGCATTACGTCTGCTAAGGTATCGTATCGTTCTGGAAGGACTTCCGGTCTCCCCCTCATGTCGTCTTTGGCTAGGCTATCCGGTCCAGGCCATAACCCACAGGTCGACGTACTACCGGAAAGCCTTCATGAGCTTTACTATGTCTAGCCATCGTCATGGTAGTATAGCGACTGCACTAGTCTGTACGCGCGCAGTAACGACTGACGTAGAAGGATGGTAGCCCACCTGGATCCCCACAGGCTTTCGTCAATTCCCTGCGACCGACTTCGATATTTCTTCGACCCGTGCGCTACTCCTATCATTAGGCTGTGCGAGCAACTCGCACGCTGAGGTTGCGACACCAGTCATCGCAAAGCTGAGCGACCCTGGTAACGCATTGATTCGAAGAGCCCACGGCTTCACCGATCGTATCTATCCAGAAGGCGACCAAATATGGACAGCGCGGGTATCCGGCATACTTCTTAGAAATAGGGGGACCAGACCTCTAGCAACACTTCCGTTCTTCAATTCAGTCTCTCTTGATGCAGACCAGTCAATGCGCCCCCGCATTGGCTTGGCATTAGTATTGTGAGAGGAGTAGTTGGGACAAGGACACGCGAGGACTAATAGATCAGATGTGTGAGCCCGTAATATTATAGAAGGCTTCCAAGGATAACTTAAGCAGATCGCTCCAGGATAGTAAGAGTGCGAGCGCTATACTTCGAACCAGCCTTCCATAGTTAGGGTCAATCGCGACATTAAACTCACGCTACTAATTTACGCCTTCTTCGAATTCAACGTACAACAAGATCACGCCTTAGTGTGCGACATCACTGCACGAATTAAGCTCGTAGCGTCCACATGTTTCCACAATGTCCCCGCCGCAGTCGCTGCCGCCGCCTGGAGGAAGTTCTCCGTGCATTGGAACGAAGGGCAAAGATTAGCAACGACGTCACCCACGATAGGCACCAAACGCGGAGAGGAATCGGATTGTGGCGGCTACAGTGATACAGGATAGTCGCTTCTCGGAGACCTATCGGAACAGAAATCGCTGTACTGGACTGATGGGTGGTACGCCGCATTCATATTGCCATCTCCAACGTCTACACGGCCATTGCTTACGTCTGCATGGTCAGTGACTGCATCTATCGGGTCAGCGTCGACATCTGGCTCGGGATACAAGTTTCAGGATGATCTTCGCGCCTCCACACCCCTTCGTCCACAAAAGCATTATTCGACGTTTTACTTTGCATGTAGTAAATACTAGAAAGAGCAATAGAGAGAGAGTATTGTAACAAAGTAATATCAGCTTCCACACGATCATCTTTGATCCAACGATTGACTCACGCCACGAGATGCACCGCTATCGCCACCACCGATTTCTGTATAGATCAAATGCAAGTACTCCAGGCGGACCAGGTTGCAGATGCTAAACTACTTGCATGCTGATCCCCAAAGCTCCAGCAGGAGGACGCGGGCAGCACTCTTAATACTTGTAGCTATGAAATACTCAGCCATGCCATCATTGATATTCTGACGAAGCACACGATGAATCCATCGCGTCCACCACCTGTCCCCCTTCGGGTGGCACGTCCGACGACTTCAGTGATGACGACATTGGGTATTTTCACGTACCCCTTAGCAACAGCGGCCCTCGCTCTAGCATTTTAGCGCACAGACAAGTTCACGCTCTCCGCAGAAGGTTACCATAGACATCGCGAGAGGGGAAGGTCTTTAGGAAATTAGAACAGAACAGGTGCTTTGATCGTTCCTAATGATGAATATAGAATAATCCTGTTTACATGTACAGTATTGTCATTTTTTGCTTTCTCTTGTTGCATCACCGTCCCTGTCCGTTGTGCTTGTCCATCAAGGAAGGTTGCAACATATAACTATGCAGAAAAAGACACCGCTCGGATAGAACTCACGTACCGACCACAAACCTCTCGATAGAGTCTTTTATCTAGCTAGTTGCGACCGACATACAAAATCCAGCAGTTGAGAGCGAGATTTGTTGTCATTGTATATGAATATAGAGCAATAATCGCTATTTACGACAAAACTTACCACGTCTGGCCCCCAAATCGACCAATATACAGCTATCGATGGCACATTACGAAGCACTACACCCGAAGGTCTAAGAGGTGGCTATATGATCAGCTCTGTCGTAGGTACAACCAGGAAAGCGGATTTCCACATCGCCTTTGCTAGGGCGAATGGAAGATTTGAGAGTTTGGGGGGGGGGGGTGGGGCTTGCTGGTTCTGTCCCAAGGAGAGGTCGT